CACCTGCTGGTCCCCCCCCCCCCAATTTTTTTGTAATTGAAACATAAACCTTTCTCACTTCCTGACCCTTTTGCAATCGGAAAATATTTGTTAGCATTCTTACTTTGTGGCAGAATGGTTATTTGCATAAGTTCAGTAATACAATAGTAACTGTTACCTTGCATCAGAAAATGAACTCTTATGGTGCTTTGTGCAAATAACAGACCAAATTGAGATTAATCTATATATTTTTTGCAAATAAGTTAGTTTACACCCCTCTTTAGTAAAAGAGGGAGAGAGAAAAAAATGTTTCAGAAGAAAATGACAATGCACCTGTCACTAGATTCTAGCTTTGTCCATACTTGAAGATCTTTCGTGAATCAATAAAATGTGAAAAAAAAATAAAAGTCTGGTATGGAAGGGAGGGAGGGGAAAGGGGGAGGAAAAAACTGGTAAAAGTATGCTCACTTGACAAAAAATGAGAAGGTTTTTGCTGCTGATGATGTATATAATAATACCTTTGTCTTGACTGACATGCATGGTATTTGTGTTGGAAAAAGAAATGTATACTGTAAAGACATGATAAAATATAAATACATTTAATAAATTAAAAAAAAACTACCCTTAAAACAAAACAAAAACAACAAAAAACTAGTATCACTTCTGTCATTTTTGGAGGGACTAATACATTCCAGGTCCCGTGTTAGGCATTTTTCACAGATAATCTCTTGAACCATATGACTGTACAAGGAAGGAGTGGTTAGTTCTTATTGTGTTGAAAGTTTAACCAATTTGAGTAGGAATATGCAGGATGAGAGTGGATTTACAACCAGGCAGCCTGACTAATTGGAAATCTCCCTTCTCATATATTGGGTTGTCAGAAAAGTCATGACATGGTTTTCTATGCAAAAATGCATCATTACTTTTCTGATGACCCAATACCACAGCCATCACCCACTTGCAACTTCTTTGTTTCTATTCAGGTAGAGAATCCAAGCTCTAAACCAATGGGCTGGGCTTTTAAAAAATTTTGGGTGGATGGGACCAGCAGTTGGTGTAAAGGCTATGTTGCTGGACTCCCATGTAGTTGACTGCAGTTCAAGTCCTGGACTTGGTGGCTTAAACTCACACCAGGCATGTGTGTGTGCTTGCCCAAGATCTTGAGAGGAGAATGGAGGAGAAGGGATTGAGGTGTGGCCCTCCCCTCTGGGGGGTGATTTCTGGCTTTCTGTCTCTTTGTCTCTGTCTTTCTAGTGAGTGCATGTGCCCTCACAGCAAAAACCTCTCCAAAAAAAATGTTTTTTTTTTGTGGAGCAAACTTTGCTGAAGTGTTCATTTTTTAGTACATCTCCCAGATGTTGTTGAGCGCCATTGGTGAAGACCTTTGAAAGAAGTTACCTGAACAACCCTCCTCTGCTAAATTTGGAAAAATTAGCTATATTGTGACATTATTTTGAAGAAGACCTGTTTTTCTTTGACAATCTAAAAAAGTGCATTTTAGGGTGGATGGACATTTAAGTGCCTTTTCTAAGTTAATCAAAAGTGGGGTTCCATCCCTATCATTCACCATTAACAAAAAAGAACTGAACCTAAGACCTCAAGCTATAAAACTACTGGTGGAAAATACTGAGGCAACTCTGGAAGACATTGAGGTAGGCAAAGTCTTCTTAAATAAGACTCCCAAAGCACAGGGAATAATCCCTAAAATAGGCAAGTGAGACTATATCAGATTAAGAAGTTTCTGCACAGTGAAGGACACAGTAATTAGTATGAATTGACAACCCTCAGAATGGGAGAATATTTTGTAAAATATTCCTCAGACAAGGGACTGGTAATTAGAATACATAGGGAACTCAAATGACTTACTTAGAAAAAAAAATGATTAACCCAATTAAAAGATGGGAAAATGAGCTGAACAGAAATCTCTCTAAGGAAGACATATGAACATCCAAAAAGCATATGAGGAAATGCTCAACATCCCTCATCATAAGGGAGATGCAGATTAAAACCACAATGATATACTACCTAACCCCTGTCATAACGGCAAAGATTAAAAATATAAAAAGTGATAGGTGTTGGCAGGGATTTGGTGAAAGGGGAAAGGGTAACTCTTCTACACTGTTGGTGGGCATGTGAACTCTTTCAGCCATTGTGGAAAACAATATGGAGGTTCCTCAAAGATCTACAAATAGAACTACCATTTGATCCAGCAATCCTAGTTCTGGGTGTCTACCCAAAGGAAAGGAGAATGCTCAGTCAGAAAAGTGCTTGCAGATCAATGTTTATTGCAGCTTTATTTACAATCATTAAGACATGGAACCAACCTAAATGTCCACAAACAGATGAATGGATGGAAAAAGTATGGTACATATAGTCTATGGAATACTACTCAGCCATAAAAAACAACAGGACCCTGGCATTTGATAGAAAGTGGTAGAATATGGAGGATCTATTGCTGAGTGAAGCAAGCCAGGATATGAAAGAAAGATATTGTATGTATCCACCTAATATATACCAATTATCTGCACTTTATAGTAGAGATCGAAATACTGGAGGGCATAAAAGCAGTGAAAATAGTTATGGATGCTGAAGACAGTATGGAACAGGGTGGGAGGCAGAAGGGAAGAGTATAGAGAAGGATAGCAAGAGGCATGACATGAGTGGGACACAGAAATGGTTTATTACCTGTTGAAGATACCATGTATAGTATTCTCAACTGGACTGGTCTGAGAAGTATTTCAAGTTGGGTAAATTCTTTATACAAGTCAAATGTTATATAGTGGTTGAATGTTTAAAAAATAATGAGAATAAATAATAATAATTGAAAAAAATGATGCAAAGTTATTTGATGAGATGATGTGGATAGTAGTATCTTTGTCTTGACTGATATGCATAGTAATTGTGCTGGAAAAAGAAATGTAATACACTGTAAAGGTATATGTGATTCAATGTAATATAAAAAAGACTATTGTAAGAATAAATAAAATTAAATAAAAAAAGTGGAGTTCCACTCAGACCAAACCAAACAAAAAACAAGCAAGCAAAAATTTTCAAAGTGTTTCACTAAGCAAAAGACTCAGAGGGAAATGTATTTTGGAGTCTTCCTGTAGGAAGACTGTGTTTCTTCTACAGTGGAAGATGATTTTAGCTGTTCATGTAACAACATTCATTCATTGAGCACCTAGCCAGAACTGGGCATTAGGCACTTGGACACAGCGTCATAAGACTGCCCTCCAAGGTCAGATTTCATTGTGAAAAGTGCTATCATTATTTCTTTTTTTAAAAATTTTATTTTTAAATTTTTATTTACTTTTTAAAAATACATTCAATTCGCTAGGAAGCAGAATCAAAATAAGGAGAGATAAGCCCCTATATGTAGAACCATGGAATAAATAAGGATAGTAGTAAAAACGTAATTGTAAAAGTAACAACTAAAATTCTTTGAGGGCTCATTTTGCTAGAGACAATGCTGAAGCTATTCATGTGTTTGGGTCATTTGATCCTTATAAATACTCTGAGGCAGATACAAATATTCTCTTTACAAAGAATGAGGAAACTGAGACAAAAGGTGAAGTTGTTAAGTTTGACGAGGTTATTCCAAGACTCAAGAAGATACTCTTCATCTTGTCTTTAATATCACAAAACATTTGGGATGGATGGGTGTGAATCCCTCTTGCTGTTTTGTTCAAATGTCTGATACTAACTTGGAATCTCATGTCTCCTGTGGGTTAAGTGAACTGCTATGATTCCCAGCCTCTCTGTGCCTACCTAGCTGAGAAATGAGAAGTTACATGACTATTCTTTTGAACTGTTGTGATTTCACACTGACTGAGAGAGATTTGGAGGAGGGAAGGGAGGGAGGGAGGATAAAGAAAAGTTCATTCCTCCCCCCCCACAAAAAATAAAGAAAAAAGATATCCAGCCAACCAAACAGACAAGCAAAAACTCCCCAGAGACAGTGACCTGCATAGATGACAATTCCAACAGCCATCTCAGTGTTTCTGATGGTGCAACCTCGAAGCAGAAGACTCTCGCTGCCAAAACCAGTCCTGGTCTGATCAGGGTGCTCCCTGGGAATGACAAATGAAAAATGGAGGGACAGTTTAGTGGCCTCCCCATTCTCACTGGTTAGTTCCCAGAAATAAAAGTAGTGAGTGAACACCATCCCTCTCCTCTCTCTTGTTCAGAAAAGTGATAGTAACATTGGAAAGAATAGAAAAGTAATAACTGCTTAGAGCTTTTTCTGCTTAAGTTTTTTAGTACTTCATTGCTCTAAGCCCAGTGATAATCTTTTCCACGTGTTAACTCAATGAAGCCTCACAACAGCCTCATACCTGTGTCAGAGGTAGGAAAACTAAACCATAGAGTTAGTGATGGCAGAATAAGGATTCAGACCTAGGAAGTCTGGTTCCAGAGTGCTGGAATGCCACTCGATATGCCTTTGTTTCAATGCTAATAGTTCCTCAGTGGGTTTATAAACTGTGTTTACTTCCATCATTTTATTTGACTCTTCACAGTTCTGGGAAGTTAATAGGATTATCCTTATTTGTGAAAAAATGGAAGCTCAGAGAAGCTGTGAGATTTTTCCAAGATCACACACTTAACACCACAATATCCTAGGACTCAGAAATGCAGGCCAACCCTATTGTGATTTTTACTACCCAAGGGCTCCCAGATACTTCCCACTAACTTACACCCAGTCAGAGAGACATTTCCATTTTCAGTTCTGCTGAAGCTTGATCAAGGAGGCTGCTTCTGTTTCTTACTAGAGTATCGCTCACCCTCTTCTCACATTTGTTTATTCTATATTTTTGTTGTTGTTTTGAGAGCTTTTTGCTATAGGGTGGGTGTGCTTGCCAGAAAGACAGAGATAGACAGAAAGCGAGAAATCACCCTCCCAGTGGGTATGGCCATACCTCAATCCCTTCTCAGCCATTCTCTTCTTGGGATCTCAAGCATGCACGCACATGTGCCCGGCGTGAGTTTAAGCCACTGGGTCTGGGACTTGAACTGTGGTCGACTACATGGGAGTCTAGCAACATAGCCATTACACCAACTGCTGGTCCCTATTCTATTTTGTAATATGGAGGAGGCTTTGGCAGAGTATAGTGAAAACTTTTAAATTAATTGTACTTTTTTTTTTTAAATGATAGAGGTACATGGGGAGAGAGAGAGAGAGAGAAAGGGAGAGAGTGAGAGTGAGCGAGAGAGAAAGCACTCCCCAACAGGCCTGGTAGTGCCACAGTCCTCTTTTCTTCCATTTCTCATTCCTATTAGGATCCTGGGCATATGAACACATGCTTAGTGTGTTTTTTTAAGCTGCTGGAGCTCGAATTCAAACTGCAGTTGGCCTCGGGGGATCTGGCTTCTACTGCGTGATGCTCAACTGCGATAGGGCCAGCCTATGTATTAATTTTTACTATTACTTTCTGTGTATGACAAGTGATATTGGTTTCCCACAGGGACAGTGATAGAAATTTTCATTTTGAAATTTTAAAATATACTTATGAAAAAAAAGGCAATTGAAGATTTGGTAGATAGAAGTATAGATTTTTATGAATGTGATGAAAATCATAAAGGTGGTCTAAGAATGACTGAAGTATAAGACTCATCATTATTTGCTCTCTTTATCAAGGAAGAGGCCAACTGAGGAGTGACTGGGCCAATGAATCTTGAATGTGTCACTGTCAATAGCTTGTGACTTAAAGAATACTTTTATAATGCTCTGAGGTGATGACAAATAATAGAGGTACCTACTTCACCTACTCATAATGTCCCTTTTTCAGTGGATGGTAGAGAAGAAATAGTTGCTTTTTTGTTTAGTGCCTTTGGTTTATAGGGATGCTCTATCTAACTGACTCTAGAGCATCATTTCTTTTTTTTTTTTGAGAGGTTTTCGCTATAGGGCATGTGTGCTCACCAGACAGAGAGAGAGAGACATAGAGACAGAAAAATGAGAAATCACCCCCCAGAGGGGATGGTCATGCCACAATCCCTTCTCCTCCATTCTCCTCTCAGGATCTTGGGCACGCACGCACATGTGCCCGGCGTGAGTTTTAAGCCACTGGGTTTGGGACGCGAACTGCGTTCGACTACATGGGAATCCAGTGACATAGCCATTACGCTAACTGCTGGTTCCCTAGAGCATCATTTCTTAACCTGGGCACCATTAACATCACAGAATGGATAATTCTTTGTAGTGGGGATGTCCTGTGCATTATAGGATATATATCAGTGTCCCTGGTCTCTACCCACTAGACGCCAGCAGCACCTCTTCCCAGTTGTGACAAGCAAAAATGTTGCCAAATATCTCCTGCTTGTGTATGTATGTTGGTGTGTGTGTGTGTGTGTGTGTGTGTGTGTGTGATTGCCCCTGGGTTGATAACTATTGCTTTATAGACATCTCTTTGTTTAAAAATTGCATTTTGAGTCCAGCAGGTGGTGTGTTTGTTAAGACAGTGAACTCCCATGTGCCCATTGTGGTTTGAGTCCCAGACCTGGTGGCTTGAAAATCATGCCTGGTGTGTGTATGTGTGACCAAAATCCCTGGAGGAGAATGAAGAAGGGACTGTGGCATGGTCACCTCTCCTTGGTGGGAGAGGTTCTCACTTTCCTCCTCACTATCTCTGTCTTTCTCTGATGAGTGTATGCGCCCTAGGGAAAAAACCAAAGGAAAAAAAATAATTAAAAAATTGCATATTCAAATATGATACCCCTAATCTTCAAATGGATATTAAAAGCCATTTGTCTTCTACCTAGCTTGTGCAATCACAGGGAACTCCTAAATAAGGGACTTAGAGAAGCTGCTGCTGGGAAACTCAGAGGCATTAGACCAGTGAGTTTTCTCAGGAAAAGGTTGCAGATCATCTGTGGGTGCTGGGCCTGTGGGCATTCTCCTGGCCAAGCACAGCGAGGATGGAGGGCCAGAGCAAGGAATTCTCCATTGTGCCATGGATTGGCTGCAGGGTTGACTGATAGGACTTTTAGTACTTATCCATGAGGCCCAGGCAGTTGGAGAAGGATAGGTCTCTATGAGCAGCAACCAGGGGGCTGAGTACAGCTGGGAAAATTCTGTTTTGAAATCTGTGTAAGAGGGGTGGGTCGGAGTCTAGATAGGAAGTAAGAAAGGTTGGCTGCTGACAGTAGATTGGAGCAGAAAGGGTCAAAGCAGAAAACCAGCAATGAAGCTGTTCTCTAAGAGAATAAGAACTATGACTCAAGGCATGGGTGACTTGGGATGAACCAAATCCACAAGCCTGGGGCATGAGAACTTTGCCTTTCTTTTTTATTTATTTATTTTTTTGGAGAGGTTTTTGCCATAGGGTGCGTGTGCTTGCCAGACAGACAGAAAGAGATATAGAGACAGAAAGCGAGAAATCACCCCCCAGAGGGGATGGTCATGCCACAATCCCTTCTCCTCCATTCTCCTCTCAGGATCTTGGGCACGCACGCACATGTGCCCGGCGTGAGTTTTAAGCCACTGGGTTTGGGACGCGAACTGCGTTCGACTACATGGGAATCCAGTGACATAGCCATTACGCTAACTGCTGGTTCCCTAGAGCATCATTTCTTAACCTGGGCACCATTAACATCACAGAATGGATAATTCTTTGTAGTGGGGATGTCCTGTGCATTATAGGATATATATCAGTGTCCCTGGTCTCTACCCACTAGACGCCAGCAGCACCTCTTCCCAGTTGTGACAAGCAAAAATGTTGCCAAATATCTCCTGCTTGTGTATGTATGTTGGTGTGTGTGTGTGTGTGTGTGTGTGTGTGTGTGTGATTGCCCCTGGGTTGATAACTATTGCTTTATAGACATCTCTTTGTTTAAAAATTGCATTTTGAGTCCAGCAGGTGGTGTGTTTGTTAAGACAGTGAACTCCCATGTGCCCATTGTGGTTTGAGTCCCAGACCTGGTGGCTTGAAAATCATGCCTGGTGTGTGTATGTGTGACCAAAATCCCTGGAGGAGAATGAAGAAGGGACTGTGGCATGGTCACCTCTCCTTGGTGGGAGGGGTTCTCCCTTTCCTCCTCACTATCTCTGTCTTTCTCTGATGAGTGTATGCGCCCTAGGGAAAAAACCAAAGGAAAAAAAATAATTAAAAAATTGCATATTCAAATATGATACCCCTAATCTTCAAATGGATATTAAAAGCCATTTGTCTTCTACCTAGCTTGTGCAATCACAGGGAACTCCTAAATAAGGGACTTAGAGAAGCTGCTGCTGGGAAACTCAGAGGCATTAGACCAGTGAGTTTTCTCAGGAAAAGGTTGCAGATCATCTGTGGGTGCTGGGCCTGTGGGCATTCTCCTGGCCAAGCACAGCGAGGATGGAGGGCCAGAGCAAGGAATTCTCCATTGTGCCATGGATTGGCTGCAGGGTTGACTGATAGGACTTTTAGTACTTATCCATGAGGCCCAGGCAGTTGGAGAAGGATAGGTCTCTATGAGCAGCAACCAGGGGGCTGAGTACAGCTGGGAAAATTCTGTTTTGAAATCTGTGTAAGAGGGGTGGGTCGGAGTCTAGATAGGAAGTAAGAAAGGTTGGCTGCTGACAGTAGATTGGAGCAGAAAGGGTCAAAGCAGAAAACCAGCAATGAAGCTGTTCTCTAAGAGAATAAGAACTATGACTCAAGGCATGGGTGACTTGGGATGAACCAAATCCACAAGCCTGGGGCATGAGAAGTGCA